ATTTGACAACTGTCAACTAACTTAAAACTAAATTCAGCCCGTGACTAAAAACCTGTTGCTAACTTCAGCCCGTGACTAAAGCGCCATAAAGCCACAACTTGTCAATGTGTATTTAAAAGGTCACTTAGTGTCATGGAAACATGTACGATAAAGGGCGTTTTAAAGGTGGGAGTAGAAAAAATACTTTATTAGGCTAATTTTATTTTATTTACATACATCATCTACGAGCCATTAGACCAATTACAAGATGAGAAAAGTTAATGCAATTTATCAATGGTGGAAAATCATATTATTATTTATTTATTTTATGTGTAAAAATAGTATATTAAAGAACTAATGTCATAAGACCTTATTTTGTCTTATGACATGAGTTCTTCATGCTATTTTATCTATTTTGCAAAAATTCTATAAAAAAAATTAATTTTATACCTTAAATTTAATTTGGTCGAATTTTACTTTAGGTAGTTGGTATCACAGTCATTGGTTTGACAGTTAATGTCAAAATCGATTCGCCATGCCGTCCTCAATTTACTTATAAGCGGCTGTTAATGTTAAAGAAGAAAAAAAGGATTTATTGCCAGAAAAGTCTCGTAAGTACTAGAAAAATCATAAAAATATTATAACCAATTTTCAAAATATTATTTTACTAGTAGGTATGCTGTTTAAAGTGGCCAACCTATAAATTCAAAATCCTGGGTGGGGTAAAGTACCTCATTACACCACCGAAAGCGGTGTTACAATGAAGTCATTATTAACTCAAAATAGATAAAAAGTTTTTAAACAAAATTACCTACGCAATTATTATTTTATTATTTTGTTACTTTTTTCCACCAAAGTTTATTAGGGTTTAAAAAATGATCACCCAGTAAGTATTTTACTTTTACAAAATTTATTTATTTAATAATAAAATTTTTCTTAAAAAACTGTAATAAAAATTTTACTCAAATTAATTAATATGTTTGAAGATTACATTAAATGACAATTAACTCTCGAGACCTAAATGTTTATAGGTAGGACCAAAATACTTTTATGTTGGTAATTTGTCTTTAAATAAATTTTAGCGATTTTTTTATCGTTCTTTTTGGCGGCATTTAGTTCCACCATTTTGTAAAGGCAAGAATATAAAAAATAATAGGTAATTTGCTCATAACTCTTTTCAAATCATCAATATAACAAAGAGAATCACGTAAAACCCAAGGTGAAAGTTCAAAACCAACCAATTTTCATAAAAAAAAGTACCGTATTAAATCTAAAATTTAACAATTTGTAGCTATTGTCCAAATAATTTAGGTCAAACATCACTCTTTATATTTATAAGTTGGTTATAAAAAAATTAAAGTCACGAACCGATCACTCTAACGTCTTAGTTTTCGTTTTATTATATTGGTGTACCTTTGTGCGACAAAATGCCATTTCTTTGCAGATTTCGCAACAAATATATGCAGGAATCTAGGTCAAATAGGCGTAGGCGTAAAGCTTTTACTGTTTCACGCTTTATAAGTATCATTTTAATTATAATTATGCGTTATTTCGACGAAAAATCTGTCAAAAGCAACTGCGCATGCGTTACTTATGCAAAAATCAAGTTGCTTTGCTATAAAACCCATCCAACCAATTAAAAACTGCAATTCATTGCATTTGTGGATATACAGAGCATTCATTGGTCAGTTCGAACAGCCTACTTTGTGGCAAGAGCGATATGGAATATTTTTTAAAACCTCCATTAAAACGTCCACAAATTGTTATTCTTTGTAATTTTAAATTCGTTCTTGTGAATTGTTTTATAATTTTTCAAACGTCGTAACAAATTTACTGTGAAATTAGATATAAAACGGGTTTGTATGTGTGTCTTGTGAGAACCACAAAAAATTGCTCGAGACTTTAATTTAATATGGGTAATTTAACGAAAACAATTTACTTCTTCTTTTTATGGCATATTTCTTTGTTATAGTCTAAGATCCCAAGTAAGGTCGACCTTCACCCATCTGCTTACCAGATGAAAATTATATTTTATCAAATAAAATATGTTTCTGAACATAAACCAATAGGGTTGCCATAAAAAATATGATCAAGGCTAGCTATAATAAATAAAAAATTAAAAAAAAATAATTAATTTTTTAAATTTCACCGACTTGCTTGCCAAATGAACGAAATTCCAATGGAAAGCATACAACATACAGAATATGTAACAGCTAGGTTGCCTACCTTTTTCTGGTCCCTATTACCTGGTTGCTTTATACAGGGTGATCCCCTATAATGTCGCCTCCCTTTTACTTTTTTATTTTAAGTGTCCCAAAAAATTTAAAAGTGTGGTTATGTAGGAACTAAAAAATACTTTTTTTCTACGTATAAAGAAAATTGGAAAATTGATCAGTATACAGGGAAAACAAAAAGTTTATTTTTTTCAATGGATCACCCTATATATGAATTTATTTTTCGATTCCTTGTAAAATTCTAAGCATATTTCATATACCATACCATACTGAGGCTTCTTGATTTCTAACAGTTTAAAAAAACATTTAATGATGACATTTCGAATGCGAATATTTCAGAAACGGTTGAATTTAGGTATATGATTTGTTATATAAATTATGCTCAGAATTTTACAAGGAATCGAAAAATAAATTCATATATACGGTGATCCATTGAAAAAAAATAAACTTTTTGTTTTTCCCTGTATACTGATCAATTTTCCAATTTTCTTTATACGTAGAAAAAAAGTATTTTTTAGTACCTACATAACCAAACTTTTAAATTTTTTGGGACACTTAAAATAAAAAAGTTAAAGGGGGGCGACATTATAGGGGATCACCCTGTACAAAGCAACCAGGTAATAGGGACCAGAAAAAGGTAGGCAACCTAGCTGTTACATATTCTGTATGTTGTATGCTTTCCATTGGAATTTCGTTCATTTGGCAAGCAAGTCGGTGAAATTTAAAAAAATAATTATTTTTTTTTTAATTTTTTATTTATTATAGCTAGCCTTGATCATATTTTTTATGGCAACCCTATTGGTTTATGTTCAGAAACATATTTTATTTGATAAAATATAATTTTCATCTGGTAAGCAGATGGGTGAAGGTCGACCTTACTTGGGATCCTCTACTATTAGCAAAATTAAATTTATATGGTGTTAATAAAAATATCTAACTGTCCATTGTTGCATTTATGTGTTAATTTTATTATTAATATGGTTTTTTTAATGTAAATAATAATATTTATGGATTTTTTTTAATGCTGATTTATAGCTGTAGTTTATAAGGATTAAGCTTTGAAAAAGCCCAAAACACATTTGTTGTAAAATTTATGTTTCAAATAAAATGATTATAAGATTATGACTATTGAGCAAAAAAAGCGCACTGATAAAATTAAAGTGAATTTTAAAAACTTATAAATCAAAAACTAACAGTATTATTAAGCTTAATAATGGCCTGGACACCCTGTATATATAAACACAAAAAACTGAGCCAAAGAATGTTTGTTAATAAATTATGATATCCAATTTCCTGGGATAAAGTTACACTAAATAATAATTACAATGTTAAAATATTCAAAAGGTGTTATTAATACCATTAATGACTTATTAAAATATCATTAAGATCCTTTGAAACTAGCCGAAAATCAACCTTTTTTATTTGACTGTTTATTAATTAAATTAGGAACGCCGTAACTAATTTATTTGACAAATTTGACTTAAATATCAATATTTAAAGAATTTTATGGATTTTAGTCGTATTGGCCTTGGTTTGGTGGAATTTTTAAAATTTTTAACGATTCTTTATAGAATTACAACTTTTTATCTATGGATTATAATAGTGTAATAACTTAATGCACGGTATCACTAGAGAATGGCAAAATAAAGTAATAAATCCGCTGTATTTATCGAGTGGGTGGACGTTAGTGATTTATATTAAATTTCTAATGGCATAACGAAAATAATACGCCACTAATGCGTCACAATAATAAAGGATAGCGGAATAATGGGCCATAACGAATCTACAGACATTTTAAATTAGAACCCTTTCAAAAATATTTCAAAGAACGTTTTTTCTTAGAACACATTTGTTATTATCAAGGTTACCGTGTTAAATTGTTAGGTAAATCAGAGTCATATGTCATAAGTGTCAAATAAAACCATATCACAAATATGTGTTTTAAAAATTTAAAAAACTGTTTAAATAATGCAATCATAGACTAAAAATAAACATTATTATTATATGCATATTACAACATGGTCTTTGTGAGATTTTAATTAAGAATTTCTGCCAAATTAGACTTAATTGCTTGACCTTGAGCGACTAGGAAGTAAAAATTATGTTTTGAATTTCAGTTAAGTTGATTTTATTAGTAAAAATAAATTAAAGGGCTTAAATCAAGTGGTTTATGTAAATTTAAATAAGAGCAAAATGTCAAAATATTAAAAATAATAATTTTCACTGAATATCTTCATTTTACAATCACTTTATAACATGTTTGCCACATTTTTGACCAAAATTAACGTTTTTAATAGTTTCAACGACGTAAAACGTTAAATTAAGGGCAAAATCACGCATTTTACATTTCATCTGTCAAAAATCCCAAGACGCAAAGCTACAAGATGTCTTATAAGATACACTACTTACTTGGCGTGGTAAAATTCCCCAAATTCGTGTTGTTAAGCGTGTAAACACTTTTCGCGTCCACGACATAATCGTCCCTCATCTTGAAAACGCGGAAAAACGCACTTAAATCACCGAATTTCCAAGATTTTCACCATCAAAATAAAAACTATGGCTGAACACTTTATCAAGAGTTTAGAAATGACAGAACTGGTCGCGCCATCTAAGAGCAGGTGTTGTAAGTTGTACAACCGGAAGTTGGACAAATGAGCACTATTGGCGGGTACATTTGAAAGTAGTGGTTTTTACTTAAAATGCTTATAATTCTATAAAAATGTGTAGGAAAGACACTGTTCAGTACTTAAAAACGACTATTTAACAATAAATATATTATGGAATGTATTAACAACAACAAATATGACACAAAATAGCTGAAAATCAAAAAAATGAATTAAGGTACAGTCTTATAAAATAAATAACAAATGCTTTTTAATGGTAATACCTACTAAATTAAGTAGTGAAAACAGTCAAATTAAAAACGTACAAATATCAAAACAAGGCAAAAATGAGTAAAATTTTTGGTATTTTGCTGTCTTTGATATTATTTTCAATTTTTAACGCTAAAATAAACACCAAAACATATGGCAATAATAAAAAAAAATCCAACACAAAATAAAACGACTTTTTGTTGTATTGCTCTTAAAATCATTGAATTCATTATCCTTGATGATTGACTAAGATCCTCATTTGTTTCTCTGATCTAAAAATCAAAATCATAAGAATTTTTGTTAAATAAATGCAATATTGTATTTTATTACTCTTGATCGTGATCTTTGTATTGTTTCCCTTTGTTCTCCAAGGTTTTTTAACACTTGTGTACCAATCTCTTGAGTTTCCAAAACAACCCTATAACCCTCCTCAAGTTTTTTTCCTGTACGTTCAATTTTCTCCGAGTTGTCCAATAATCTTTGTTTTTGATCACCATTAAAACCAACATCGTTTAAATCCTCAGAGCTGTCGTAATTTAAAGCACCCTGTTTAACAGCTCTGGCTTTGATATAATCCAAAGTTAATCGCTTTAATTCAGCCCTATAACAGTCTAACTTGGTTCTACACCTCTGTCTTTTATTTGATTCAATCTCTCTAACCTCCAAATCCATTTGTTCCAACTAAAATACCATAAAACATTAAAATCACGTCACCTGTGCATAAAACAATTGCAATACCAGTTCCCCGGCCTCTTCGACATGCTTTTCAATGTTCGATATCAGTTGGCGGCGATCCTCTACAAAAACAAACAAACGTCAAATCACAAAATGACGTCACTGTCGTCAAAAAACGTCAAATAGACTATAAATTTAGCTTACTTGATGTTGTCGAAGTTAATTGGCCCACTTGTGCCGTTATATCCGCCGTTAAAACCGAATATTGTTGTTCGTAATTCTCGAATAACGAAACCATCTTGGTTTCGATCTTCGCCTAACTTTGCATTAGAGGTGGGTTGCTATCGCGTAAGCTGCTATTTTTTAACAGTTATTTTGCTGAAGCAGCTATCACTGTTACCCGGTTTTAAAAAAAGCTGCTACCAACAACATAACCTAACTCCGCCGTTTGTGATCGCATTTAACGTATTGTTTCGAATTCCGCTATATCAAAAAGCTGCTACTCGGCCTTGGACAGCGCCACTGCTGTTTGATGTCGGGATTTTAGTAAAATCATTTTACTAACGGAGGTAAAGTTACAGACTAATATGTTATACACTTTAAATAAAAATGAGTTTTAATTTGCAGCCGAGTAAAAAAAATTTTAATTTTTAAACTCGGATTTTTAATACTAAAATTTATTCATATCTAAGCTATTTTTAATTTTTTAAACCTAATCCTAGCATAGAAAATCATTATTAACAACATTATAATTTCCAATCATTGCAAAAGATCGCGATTATTTGCTAGTAAAGATCTCTGTGAACTCTCCCTAGACGTTTGTAAGCCAAGCAGAAGCGATTCGCTACTATAGCGCTATAGCAAACCCAAATAGCCGTTTTAAAATGAAACATGCGCAAGAAACACGCGTGCCGCTGTCAGCGGCTGTGGTCTATTCCCACGAGCACCGTTTCGGATAAACTGCTTCTTTTAAGCAGCTATTTGATAGCTGCTACTTAAAAAAAGCGGTAACTGTTTTAACTGCTACTTAAAAATAGCGGTTTAGCCCACCACTACTTTGCATAGTTGAAATGGTGCTTAAAAGAGGGCAGTAGCGACAAATGTCAAAACAAAGTTTAAAAGGATGATTTATTGCTGTTTACAGACAGATTTGGTATTTTTATTTAAAGAATATTGTTTAAAATACTGCAATCGTTAAATAGTTCTGTTTAAAATGTTAAATTTAGTATTTGAAAAGGATTTAATTTGACAATTTAGTTTGTTTTTTCGATGGCAGATGGCGGCACAAATTTTGTTTGTCGCGGCATGCGCTGTCAATTCTCTCTTCCATTTTTAACCTAGACAGGTTGGTAAATGTATATTTTAATCCTCAAACATCTCCTTTATTATTGAATTTTTTAACACAAAAAGTGTTTTAAATAGTAATATAGTTGTTATATTTGAAGTGATTAGTGTTATTTTGTGTCTGTGATTATAATTTCTGTGATTTTAGGGCACAATGGTCCAACGTCTCGTTTTCAGACGACGTTTGTCGTACAACACAAAATCCAACAGAAGGACGATGTGAGTACAATTTATCAACTATTTTTATTGTTTTTCTATGGTAATTTCATGGTTTTTTTGCGAAAAAATGCAAAAATATAAATTTGAGGTTATGTTGTGACAACACGCATTAAAACTCAAATTAACGGTTTATATGATGATACACTGGCTAGAGTACTGAATGTGCTTTACGTACAACTTGACGACAAACCCTTTCGTTCGTTTTTACACTGAAACAAGCAAAATCAACTAAAAAAAACTAAGTTTATTGAGGAGTAGGTGCTAACCTTATTTTCTTTGTAGCGTCCGTACTCCTGGTGGTAAATTAGTGTACCAGTACTTGAAAAAGCCCAAGAAGATCCCGAGATGCGGTCAATGCAAAGATAAGCTCAGAGGTATCTTACCTGCTCGTCCCCAAGAAAGGTCTCGTCTCTGCAGGAGGAAGAAGACCGTAAAGCGCGCGTACGGTGGCGTTTTGTGCCACAAGTGCGTCAAAGAGAAGATTGTCAGGGCTTTCTTGATCGAAGAACAGAAAATCGTCGTCAAGGTAATGAAGGCTCAGCAAGCCTCGACCAAGGCGAAGAAATAGATTAGACGTTAAAATAAAAAATTGTAAATTTTTATCAAGTTGGTTTTATTGCAAGAAAGAACCCTTTTGTATGAATGAATGTGGAAAAATGCTTTTTTGGGACAGGTAGGTGTTTTTTATATTCATACTGTATCTAAGGAAATATTAATTTTTAATATGATTTATATATGGCAATTTTAAGAACCTAATAACATGACTTTTAAGGTCTTATATCACCAAAATTTAATATATGATATTGTAATTAATTTAAGATATTAGGTACCAAGAAATTTTTTTATAAGCCATTTTTGTATCTCAAGCTTGCTCTTGAGATTTTTATAAAAAATAAATTAAATAATCAATTTTTAAGTTTAAAAACAAATTTTTGAAATTTATGGAAAATCTGTGAAAAATAACACTTCTGCACAAGTGTTATTTTCCATAGATTCTTCAAAAAATTTGTTTTTAAACCAGAGGATCATTTTGATGCCTTAAAAATTAATAACCACATTATATTTTTTTATAAACATCTAAAATAGTATATTATGTATGTATCAAGTTTTATAAACGCCATTTTAGTTACGAGTTTAATTAAGCACGAGCGAAGCTTGCGAGCGAGTGTTTAATAAAAACGAGTGTCTAGAGAAGTTTATAAACGAATTGCATACTATACTTTATCTACGACGAACACAAAACAGAATTTAAAGCCAATTTTATTTGTTAAAATTTTGACATCTGTCAACTGTCACCCGAATTTAACCTCACTTTTTCCCAATTTATAATAAAGCTAACTTCAGCCCGTGACGTAAAATGTCGAAAAGCCACTGTTGTTTACTTCAGCCCGTCAATAAAACGCCATAAAGTTACAGCTCGTCAATGTAGGAGTAGATAAAAAAATATTTTTCTCACTTTAAAACCTAGATATACCTACAGTTCATTTTTTTTTATCTGGAATCTTGTTTTTTGTTAAGTTGGTGGCTTATGCCAGCTTGACTTAGTATTTTTAGTATTTAAAAATGGTACTTCTGCTAAAGAATTTAATTAAATACTTTGGCACTGTCAAATTGACTAATATTTATTATTGATAATTTACTTGTCAATTATAAATAAAAAGATAATTGACAAAAATAATAGCAACGAATTCGAATGTAAAAGCCCTTTTGAGGGCAAAACTTCATTTTGATGAAATTATGCCAAATGCCACAATGGAAGAAAAAGTACATCGCCTTCTGGACATTTTGGAGTAAAAAAGTAACGAATTTGGTTTTATAAATATTACATCACACATTATTTACCATTGGACAACATTTACGTTCACAAAAAATTTTAATTTTTTTTATATAAATTCTTTTCAAAGCGAAGATTATTATCCGCTAGGAATACTTTCTCTTCTGGGCCGTAAAGCAACCTATATTTAACTACTTTTTTTTATATGATTTTACTCATCCAAGCACCACCAAAGCCAAATTAATTGCATTTTTAACTACGAATTTCGACAACTCAACTTGACAACTGCACAATGTAACCTACAATAATTTATACATAACCACAATTAGATTTATAACTAGCTTAGTTTGTTTTAATCAATGCGACCAACTTGACAACTGTATTTACCAACCAAAACCCTAAATTTGCAACGTTGCCGCAGTCCACATAAAAAAAATGAACTATTAATTTGGTAAATAAAATAAGTTTTATTTTCACTACATTGGCATTACTGAATTTTTTGACAGAGCCTCACAGTATTTAATGCACTTTATCTAATCTATGATTTAATGTCATTTATCTATTTTGCGTTCATAATGACTTCATTATAACAACGCTTTCGGTGCTGTAATGAGATACTTTATCCCACCCAAAATTTTGATTTTATAGGTTGGCTATACCTACTTTAAACAGCATAATATTTTGCATATTGGTTATATTTTTATGATTTTTTAGTACTTACGAGACTTTTCTGGCAATAAATTTTGTTTAACACCAAAGAAAATCCTTTTTTTCTTCTTTAACAGCTGCTTATTGTATATAAGTAAATTATAGGGATAGAACGATATCACTTTTTTTTGCCGATACGATATATCGGCCGATACCGATATCTACATACCGATATATCGTATCGGCAAACATAATGCCATCTATTTATACACGACCGAAGCTAAAATCGGGGAAGTCCCGTTTAATTCCGTTGCGAGGAAACGTTTGTGATTGGTAGTGAGTGACATTTCGGATTTCTGGGAAGCCCCTTATACAGTGTGTATTAAAACGAATAGATACACTTAAATAAAACAAGTGCCAAACCCCGCCCACTGTGGTAGGGATTGAGAATTTATAGGTTTTATTTTTATCGAATTCGTTTGTTTTGTTTTAATGCATTTCTGCAAATAAAAACTAAGTATTGTTTAAAATCCATTAAATTCCAGTTAATGGCGAAAATGTATTTCTTAAAAACTATACACATTTCCCTACGACAGTATTTCATTTATGCACTGAAGAGTGAAAAGCGCAATTTTTTTTTTGCCGATATATCGGCAATTATCTTGCCGATACGATACGATACCGATAATCGGAAACAATTGCCGATATACCGATATCAATATCGGTATCGTTCTATCCCTAGTAAATTAAGGACGGCATGGCGAATCGATTTTGACATTAACTGTCAAACCAATGACTGGATACCAACTATTTAAAGTTAAATTCGACCAAATTAAATTTAAGGTATAAAATTAATTTTTTTATAGAATTTTTGCAAAATAGATAAAATAGCATAAAGAACTCATGTCATAAGACCTTTTGTAGCACTCGTCCATTACAAAATTGTCCGACTGCGACAAAATAGTTCTTTAATATGAATTAAATTAAATGAGAACACTTTACTGTAAATATATTTTTATTAAGTACAGTAAACTTAGATACAATTCCTTTAACATAAAATAACAAAACAACTTGTAACTAGGTATGTCTAACTTATACTAAAAAGTGCTATCACTAAATAAAGGCAAGAACAACAAATAAAAAGCGAAAAAAAAATAAAAATAATTTTTAAGTGATTGTTGTAAACTTAAGACAGTTTATTTTTAATATTACGTTGAAAAAACTTATTAACAGGTTATAAAATTTGTAATTAATAACAATTACTGAATTTTTTGTATCTATGTATGTACCTAGGCGAAGATATAGCCTCGAGCAGTTTTTTTATTAGCAGATGAGCCAAGGAACCTTTTTATAAAAATTACAAAAAATCGGTGGATTTCTTGCAATAAGTCGATTAAAACGTCGGGATAGCGAAAAAAGTGCCGATAAAACACCCTTAAGGGGTCTTCCTCCACTCCGATAAACATTAAGGGGCCGCGCTTTCATTTGGCACCAAAAAAGCCTTACGTATTGTATCCCGACCGTTGAAAATAGATATGCTCTTTTTTATATAATCGAATAGTATTGCTAAAAATTAAGTCTTTCTGATTCTAAAATTGCGGAAACTTTGGTGGATTATAATCTATTTAAGTTAACTTGCTATACATGTCTTCTAGCTGGGGTTTGAAGTAGGACTTGATTTCTGGGCGTTTGGACTTCATTGTGGGGGTCAGTAGGCCGTTTTGGACGCTGAAGGGGTCTGGGTGCAAATAAATATCTTTAACCTAGAAAAATAAAGTCATTAGTTTTGACCATGGGACCAAAGACAAAAGGAAATATTTTACATTTTCAGTTAATTTTGTTCTCGATAAAACTGGGCGAATATGGTTAATTTGCAATTTAATATAATAAAATTATGATGTGTCGTTCTTGCTATCATATCCGGATGATTTTGGATTTCATCTCAACTTCGCTCTGGTACACTAAACTGTATGTAGCCCCAGTAAATTTACTTTGAAGCAAAACATTTTTTAAGTTATTTAATAAGTTTTATTTATGTTATTTTTACATATTTTAATAACCCTTAAGTTTCAACACTTTAAAGTATTATGAGGGACGTAATTTTTACGAAACAAAATTTCTTATAAGTGCATTTCGCCTAAAGGAAAATTTAACGGTAATTTTAACGTCAAACTTTTTACTTAATGGTAAATGTTACTCACAAGTAGGGTTGGGAAAATTTCACTTTTTGCTTGTACTTGAAGTTTCACTTGAAATTTTCATGACATTTATGAAATTTATTAAAATTTGCTAAATTTCTTGAATTTCATGAAACTTTCAATAAATTTTAATCACTTTAAGTGTAATACCCACACAGAACACGCTATCCAATGGATATCCAATGGCTATCCCAATGTCCATATAACATCCATGCCTTTTACGATATCCATTGGATATCCAATGGATATCCATACTGGATGTTCAAAAAAAACAAAAACATTAAACATATTTTTTTCTTTTTTAAAATAGCCCCTTATAGGATAAATTTATGTAATGATTAATAAATATGATTTAAATCGTTATTAACCCAATTTCAACAAAGTATCTCTAATATATATCCAATGGATAACTAATGTATGTCCAAAGTATATCCACTGTACATCTAATGTATATCCACTGGATATCCACTGGATATCCGGTGGATAACTGATATGGATATCTTGTATATATACTTGTATGTATACATGTGGGATTTTGTGATGGTTTAAACTAGCATATGTAAAAAAAAACGACTTTACGTTAAATTGATTTTTTGCCAAGAGCTACGAAATTTTTAATTTTGAAATGTTCACTTTACCCAGATAATAATATTTATATATTAATAATATTATTTCTGTTAATAATATGACTATGACAGTCTGCAATACAATAAAAAATTACTTAAAAAAGTCCTTTTTGTTTATTATTGTATTTCATATATGTACTACGCACGCGCTGAATTTGAGAATCTTCAGTGTTGCCGGTTATAAGCAAAATAACTAAACGAAATATATTTCCGTACTTTATTAAGTTTTAATAAATAAATTAAATAAATTTAAAATAATTATTCACCACATTTATGTCAAATAGGTATACTAGGTATACTAATTAATTAAGTATTAAAGCTTTAATAATATAACCGCCATTTTGATGAGCTTTCTGAAATTATTTAAACGTCTGACAACACTGCCGGCGAAAACAGAAGATAAATGTCACCATATTACCTTGCCGCTGCATCTCGCCGCTGTCCAGGTCGTCCAACTAGTATATAGGTGGGCGGTTGCTTGGCTTGAAGCGTGTCTCTCGGCACCAACTGCCTGACACTGATGAGACCCAACAGGTTGAAACAGTCTGTCTGTCAGTGTTGGTGGGCATGGTACTACATTAGTCATTGTGCCATGTCAACCCGAGAGATGCGTTTCGGGCCAGGCACGGTGGAGAGATGTGTCGGCTTGTGTAATATTTGTCATTTTGGTTGCCTAACTACTGGCGTAGTAGTAAAACCTTGGCAATTTTATTTATTTTAAAACCCAATGTTATTTATTGAAAAGTAAATATCCATTGATTCACCATATCCAATACAGATGACAACCATATTGCATACAATACTATATCCACTGGGTATCCATTGGATATCCACACCACAGATTATCCACACTATGTCCAGGAGGGTCGGACATTTATATATCCAATGGTTATCCATTGGATATCCATACAATCTCCATATTGAATACAGATTACAACCTTATTGCATACAATACTATATCCACTGGGTATCCATTGGATATCCACACTATGTCCAGGAGGGTCGGACATTTATATATCCAATGGTTATCCATTGGATATCCCGGATATCCTATGTATATCCTGGATATCCATAAAAGAAATCCATTGGATATCCATTGGATGTAATTGTTCCGTGTGGGTATAATAATATTGACCATGGCAAATTGCCTCCTACCCCTCTGTGGGCCCCTGCACCAATAATATAAATAGTAAATACCTATGTTTACCACAAATTTCTTGAGATTTTCTTTTAAAATATTTTTAAAATTACTAAAACTAAAAGAGATATAGCACTTTTTGGTAAGCTAATGATTCATTGTTTTATATTTATATATATTTATTATTTTTAAATATTTTACTGAAATTTTACGAAAATTGAAGAAACTTCATCAAAATTTTATGAGCCAAAGGGATTTTTTATCCGTTTTCCGATGCAATTATAGCAAAAGTAAAAGATTAAATTAATCATAATTTTAAAAAAAATTTAAAGTCTGATTTAATTTACAAATTAAATTGGTAACGGAATTAAATTATTTAAATTAATTTATGCATATAACTAACAATAATTACTTATAGCCCAGTAAACACAATTACGTAAATATGACGTAAATATGATGTCATGTCAGGTCACGCTTACGTAAGATATAGGTCAGACTTGAGTCATACAAGAGTCATTATTTCACACTTCCTTACGTCAGACTCTGACGTAAACATCTTGATGTAACACTGACATCATACCATTACATAATATTTACGTAATAAATGTGACATAAATATGACCTAAGATTCTTAGGCTAAGAATGACGAAGCCCCCTTCCTTATTTTTCATCATAGGGCAAAATAAGTGAATACTGAAACAGCTCACTTGGCTGAAATCAGTTCCCTCTTCCAAATGAGTAAATTGTGGGTTAGCGTAAGGCCACGGAAATTCCATGGCGATCCTGACGGAACAAGGAATTCCAGTGAAAAAGCTAAATTTTATCTTGGGCCACAATTCGTGACTCGTTTATTTGCCGAGGTTCGGATTCCTAAATCTCAAATTGCAATGCAGCCAGTGTCAACTTATATACTTAACGAATAGTGCCACATAAGCGAGATGTATTATGCAATAGGGGTTGCCCATGATAAGTAGATTTCTACTATATTATAGTAGATACCTACTTATCATAGGCAACCTTTACTGCATATTGCAACTGTTAACATCTAATATATCAATGTTATTTGACAACTTTACCCTTATTTGTCTGAAACACAATAACCGGACCATATTATAATATTATTATAAAATTTGTTTATCAATGAAGAATTCCTTAATAGTTTACACGTAATAACTCGTAAATCTTTTGTTGATATTTTTTTAAAATTTAAAAAATAAGTAGGTACTTGTAAGTACTTGCAACCATGATTATGAGTACATACATAATTTTTCACATGACCATTGAATAAAATGTGTACTTTTGAAAGTACGACGCTATTTTCAAAATTTTTACGTCATAAAGCAGTAGGAACCGGAATCATAAAAATCTATATGATGTTTATTTCATATTAAATTAAGATACATTATTTTTTGATTAATTTTAAACCATATTTTCATTTAATCGACCAAGTACTAAGTAGCCAAAAAATTCAAGGAACTTCGCGTTATTTCTTTCATCATGCTAGATGCAAAAGTAATTTCAAAGTATGAAATTTGCTGTATTTTAATGTTTAAATTAAACTGATTGGTAAGTAAAAGTATCCACTGATTTTATTGTTTAAAATAATCGGCGTTAATTTCAATCAATAGAATTTACTTACGTTATTTTACTCAATGATTGGAATTAACCATTTCAATGAATAAAAAATAAAAATTGTTTGCCTATTTCATTCATTGAAATTAGTTTAATTTAAACATTAAAATACAGTGAATTTCATACTTTGAAATTACTTTTGCATCTAGTTCGTCTAAATAATATGTATAACAAATTTCTTATGTCAGTCTTACCTAAGAAAGTAACCTTAAACTTATGTAATAATATAACAGATTTCTTACGTCAGTCTTACGTAAGAAAGTGACCTAAAACGTATGTAATAGTATGACGTATTTCTTACGTCAGCCTTACGTAAGAAAGTGACCTAAAACTTAGGTAATATTATGACAGATTTATTACGTCAGTCTTACATAAAACAGTGACCTAAAACTTATGTAATATTATGACAGATTTCTTATGTCAGTCTTACGTAAGAAAAGTGACTTTAATGTTACGTCACGATATGACTTTAATATTACATAAGATGTACGTAATATGTAAGTCATTTAATTACATCATATGAAAGTCACGTTTTGGGTCAGTATTATGTCACTATGACGTAAAAATTGTATTACCTACATATGATCTACGTGTTACGTAAATTTTAGATCATAAGTCACGGTTTGGTTCACTGGGAGTGTATTCAAATTGATAACTCGTTCTTATTGGTCGATTCGGAATCTGTTGTAAATTATTATTAAAGGTCCCAGGGGAGGCCGCATGTGAAATTTATTTATTCATAAGTCATAATTTTACGATATTAAGACCACTTTATAACCGTAAATAATTCCTATTCGCCTGGTATTTTTTAGGGTTATTAGTGGTAATAAATACTATTAATTTTGACCAAACAAGGAAAAATAAGCTTAAAGTGAAAAATAAAATTTTAAGGGAATTTTTTTTCTAGGTCGCCATAATGAGTTTTTTAACATGGCATCTAAACATTTATATAATATTTTTTCATAAATATTTTTCTAAAATACAAGGAAAGTTTAGTTATTAAAAAATGATTTTTAAAAGATTTTATAAAATTTTGTAGGTTTTAAGTTTTGTTGAATTTTTAGCCAAGCAATAATTTTTCTTAAAACCGTAAAATATTTAGGGCATATAATTTTTAAGATGAATCGTGCCTATTTTTATCAATAAAATAATGTGGGTTTGAGTTTTAATGCAAAATATTATTAGTTTTGACAATTTAAGTTATATTATGTTTTAGAAAGAGAGAGCAAACAGTTAGTAATTATAGCGTTATTTTTACCTAAATTTGTGGTATTTATATTGTTTTTATTACGTTATTCTATAAGTAGATCAAAAAGGTTATTTTGTAGGTAAAATAACGAAATAAACCATGACCAAAAATGATTTTTATCAACAAAAAAAAATTCAGTCCAAAATTTTCAGAAAAATCAAAACTGCAAATTAACCATAAACAATAAAAATGAAGCGTTTATTTGTACAAATAATGTTACCTGTTCAAACGACTTAAGACCAGCATCTTTGCCTTTGGTGATCATATCGTCCAAAATCAACTGTTTTACTTCCGGATGGTTACATAAAACACTGAAAGTGCCGCTAATGCCATTCTCTGAGGCCCAGCATTTAATTACGTCGACATCAGGTACCACAATAGCAATAATACACGACTATAAAGTAAAGAAATTAGTCAAAATCATTTTTATATCGCTATAACTACCTTTAAGGATTCTCCGTGGACGAAAAGTTGGCAAACGTACTGCGATCTACTGTATATACTTTCGATTTTTTCCGGTACTATGTATTCTCCCTGTGAGAGCTTGAAAATATGTTTCCTCCTATCTATGATCTTCAAGGTTCCATTCTATAATAGATTAGTCAGAAAGACTTGCTTACATCGTTAAAATAACTTACTGGTAACCACATTCCAATGTCGCCTGTATGATGCCACCCCATCTCGTCTATTGTCTCCTGGGTCTTTTCTGGGTCCTTGTAGTAACCTTGGAACACGTTGGTGCCCTTCACCACAATCTCTCCTTGGTTGTTCTTCGACCAGTACTCCATTTCCGGGACGTCTACCAACTTGACGCAACAACATGGTACTGGAGGCCCTACATGTCCAGGAACCCAGTCACCTTGTATGGTCAAAGATATAGGTGCACAACATTCGGTTTGTCCATAACCCTCTACAACCTATAATGCGGTTCTTTAAGTTACTTAATGGAGTAAAGTATATGAAAACCTACCAAGCACCCAAGAGAGCACCTTATGAAGGTCAGAACGTTGTCTGCCAAGGGTGCAGAACCCACCAGCATCAGTCTAAGTCTTCCACCCATCCCTTCTTGAACCTTCCTGAACACCAACATATCCCAAAAACTATTATTCCTAATGATCCCTCTCTTAATTTCCCCCTCCTTCGCGTTCATAGCCATATTGAACAACATTTTCTTCAAGAAACTCTGATTGATCTCACCCATGACCTTATCGTGGATCCTGTTGAGTAACCTTGGTACGGCAGGGCAAATCGTCGGTTTCAAGGCCTTCATGTCGTCTGATAACCTCCTTATATCGCCCAGGTAGTACCCAACGGAACCGCCCATCATGAACATGGCGATTTCGCAGCACCTCTCCAGCATATGCGCGAGCGGAAGAAAGGAAATCATCGTATCCTCAGGTCTGGGCCTGTGCTCCCCCTGTTGCATAATCACTGCGCTCACCGAGGCTATGACGTTCTCGTGCGTGAGCATCACTCCTTTAGGATTGCCCGTGGTTCCGCTGGTGTAGCAGATTGTACTCAGATCTGACGGTTTTGGTGGCTAGAATCAAGAGAACTCCATGTTTAGTGATTTCGCTGCGGAACCCAAAGGTGTTTAAAAATTGCTTTGGGTTCCACTTTTTGCGTGGTTCTATCGAAACGGTTTTTTGATATTGATTTTATTGTGGAACCCAGAGGTGATTTTATTGTGGAACCCAAAGGTGTTTGAAAATTGCTTTGGGTTCCACTTTTTGCGTGGTTCTATCGAAACGGTTTTTTGATATTGATTTTATTGTGGAACCAAGAGGTGTTATTCAATGAACCCAATGGTTTAATTAATAAGCTGGTTTTTATTTTTATATCACAATTGGGAAGCTAAAGAACTAAAAACTTAAAATATGGAACCCAAAGGTGATTTACTCACCATTTCCGGGTGGTTCGTCTTGGAACCCAGCATTTCGAGATCGGCCATCTTGATGATCTCGATGCCCAAATTTTTGGCCCTCTGCCTGGTTGCTGGACGTATATCTTTGTAAATAATCATCTTTTTGAGACATCTGGGTGATTTTTCCATCAGAAGGTTGCATTTTGCATCGTCTTCCACGAATACTACGTTTATATCGGCTAAAAAAAATATTTATTATTTGTGTGTTGTGGAACCCAATGGTGATGCGGTACCTTGTTTGATGATAAAGGCACATGCGTCGGGGCCTAGGGTATCGTATAGTGGTACCAGGACCATGCTGTAGCAGTATAAAGCTTGCTCTGTCAGAATCCATTCTGGGCAATTTTGGGAGTAGACTCCTATAATGGTGTTGGTTCCAGGGGTGAACCCTTGCGAAACCAAGCCGGAACCTAGGTTTTTAGCGCGGAGAAGAGCTTCATTAAAGTTCAACCATTGATAGGGTTTTGAGTATGATTCCCTCCAACCTAGACATTGTCCATTATCTAAAAAGTTTGTTAGTGCAATACTGTTTTTTGGTATCTCTGGGTTCCTTACTTGACTCTTTAGCGCCCCGTCTGAACGATTCATAGATGGTTCTTGAATCTGGGTATAGAAAGCTGACGAATTTACCTTCTTTAGCGTCTTTGAAAAATCTGGATACTCGTATTAAGTCTGGTCCCTATAAATAGCAAAAAAACATAATAATAACATAATAATCAATAATATTTATGTAATTTGGAATTGTTCCAAATCGTGTACATTCTGGTAGTTAATACAACATTTTAAAGTAATGGTGCATTGACTTTAAATAGGATTAGTTGGTGTTTACTTTGTTTAATGTTTAATTTAAGTATGTGGTTTCATTTAAACAAGTAAAATTCTATAAACTTCATTAAATCAATTTATGACTTCAAAATATATAACAGGTGTTATAAATATAAATAAAAAAAACTAAAAATAAATACTTTAAAATACCTCATGAAAATATTGTTTATTTTATAAACTTTGTATTTCTTCACTTCGTTTAAAATTTTTTTTTTTCGTCAAATAATATTTAATTAAATCAATGGTTGAGGAATTTATCGCATTTATCAAGAACTAGGGATAGTAAAGGACCGTACCTTCCAGTTGTAGGTTTCTGACTGGTTCTTCAAATTAATTGGGACCGTTATTGGTGGTTTACTTTTACAACAGCAACAGTTACACATTTTTAGTGTTTTTTCTGTAATTTTTACACTTAAAAATCACTTGTCATCACTTAAGAACTGCACTAAGGATATTTTAAGGTTCATTGAAGATTTTTGCTTGAAAACCAATTAAAATAACTTTAATGTGTGTTATAAATAATACATAAATTAGCCTGGTGCTAGGCCAACGCTCGTACAATTAAAGAAAAGTATTTTATGTCCTTTAAATTGGCTGTAAAATTACTTCGACATTAATTAATTAAAATTAATATAATCACTCCAAGTTTCTTTTCCACCAAAAACACAATTTTTAAAGGTCAAAAAATCACTTAGCACATTTTTTCTCGGTTAGATAACCCGTACGTATGAATGTCCTCGACGCCCGACGCCCCGACGCTTTGGCAATTGACTACTGCTTCGAAATTCGTATAAAATTAGCGTCTAAAAATCCCACCATCTCGAATTTACCACTCAATATGAATTTGACATTATTGTTCTCATGGATTTCAGCCCTTTGTGGGCACGGGGTGCCGCAAGGTTACGTGCTAGGGCCAGTGTTGTTCGGTTTGTCGTTCAATTGTTAATTGGTGATGCTTTGTGGCGCATTTAAAAATATCCGTCCTTCAATTAGCGAATGCATCTGTAGCATTTTTGATCGAAATAAAATGTTTTTATAATTGCGGACGTCATAACTAAATTAACAAAATAAATAAAGTTTTGATTTATTGAAAGTTTTTTGCTATTTTTATAAACTAAAATTTAAAAGTTTTTAGTTATTTTTGTTTTAACTATATTACCTACATTTTCTCTCAAAAAACCTGGTTTGTGAAGTGGTTTATTGTATTTTTTAACAAAAATTTAAAACTTTATAGTAATTCATTGATTTTTTAAATTTTACATTTTTTGTCAAAAAAATCTGTTTTTTGATGCGATTTAAAGTGTTTTTTTGTATTTTTAACTAAAATTCAATTTATTATAATTATTTTTCCATTTATTTTTAAAATTTTATTTCCTACACTTTCTGTAAAAAATGTGGTTCTTAATGCGATTTAAAGTGTAAAAATAGACGTTTATTAATTTTTTAAATTTTATTACGTACATTTTCTGTTAAACAAGTCTGGTTCTGTACTTTTTGTAGTTTTTAACAACAATTAAAATTTTTATAGTTATTTTAAACATTAATCAATTAAATTAATTAAAAGTCTAGTTGTTGGGTTTAAAGTGTTTTCTTGTATTTGTTTTACACAAATTTAAAATGTTATAGGTATACCTATAGGTGTTATTATGTACATTTTCTGTTAAACAAGTCTGGTTCCGTACTTTTTTGTAGTTTTTAACAACAATTAAAATTTTTATAGTTATTTTAAACAGTAATCAATTAAATTAATTAAAAGTCTAGTTGTTGTGGTTTAAAGTGTTTTCTTGTATTTGTTTTACACAAATTTAAAATTTAATAAGTATTTTAAACGTTATATATTAATTTTTTTAATTTTATTACCTACATTTTTTGCTTAAACAGTCTTGTTTTGTTGCGGGTTTTATAGTTGTATTTTTTAACTAAAATTTAGTTATTTTAAAGATTCATTAATTTTTTTGTTTTTCTTTATTTCATACATTTTCTCTAAAAAAAGGTCAGGTTTTTGCTGTGGTTTAAAGTAGTTATTTGTATTTTTAACAAAAATTTAAAAGTAATTCTTAAACATTCATGATTCAAGTTTTATTATCTAATTTTTTTGTCAAAACAGTCCTGTTTTGGTTGTGGTTTAAAGTAGTTTTTTGTATTTTTTAAGAAAAATATATAATTGTATAGTTATTTTAAAGATTTATTAATTTTTTAAATTTTATTACCAACATTTTCTAAAAAATTTCTGGTTTTGGTTGTGGTAGTATATTTTTGTATTTTTTAACCACAATTTAAAATTGTTTAGATATTTTAAACATTTATTAAATTTTGTACCTACATTTTCGGTCAATGGTTTAAAATGTTTTTTGTATTTTTTTTTTAATTTTATATTTATTTTAAACATTTGGTTATTTTAAACGTTCATTAATTTTTTTAACCATATTACATATATTTTCTGTAAAAAAGTAAGCTTTTGAAGTAGTTTAAAGTAGTTTTTGTATTTTTCACAAAAATTTAAAATATTATAGTTCTACATTTATTTTTTTTTAATTTTATTACGTATTCTGTCTTAAAAGATTGGTTTAAAGTGGTTTTTTGTATTTATTTTAAACAAATTTAAAATTTTATGGTTATTTTAAAGGATAATTAATTTTTTTAATTTATTACCTAAATTTTCTGTAAGTCAGGTTTTTGTATGGTTTAAAGTAGTTTTTTGTATTTTTTAACAACAATTTAAAATTTTGTAGTTATTCTAAACATTTATTTAGTTTTTTAAATTTTATCTCTATAGAACGTCTGGTTTTAATTGTGGTTTAAAGTAATTTTTCGTATTTTTTGACAAAAATTTTTTAGTTATTACAAAGTTTAACATTTAAAAATTTATTATTTTAATTTTATTACCCACAATTTTTGTTTTGTTGTAGTTTAAAGAAGTTTTTTAACTTAAATTTAAAATTTTAAACTCAATTTAGCCATTAATTTTTTATTTTATTTTTATATTAAAAAAAACTATACTTAACAAATGTCAAATATTTAAATTTTGCGGTTAGGAATTGTATATCACACCTTTTTTCTGACCCCCCTCCTCCAAATAGCATTCTATAATAATGATGTAGGTACTTTATGGACGACCTTGAAAATCGAGGTCACGCCTGTCAAAATTTGACAGTTATGATCTTAACTGCATTGTTGTATGGTTTGAATAATTTTATTTCGAAAAAAATACAAAACTTAAAAGTGCATAATTTTAAAAACAAAATTGCATTATTTGTGACGAACTAAAATTTCTTTTTCGACTGCCTATAAATCCGGTCTCGGGCAGCGTCGGTCTAATAATTAAGAAGTACCGTAAGGACGTTTAATCGAAGAGAATCGAGTTGCTTTGCAAATGTCATATATATTTTCAACGGCTTTACCGTTAGAAAACAGTTGAGGAGGAAGAGAAAAAAAATGATCGATATGAATAACTTAATAAATTACATGGCCGCGAACGGGTCATTTCAAACTACAGGGTGTACAAAAATATATTTGTCAAATAAAAAATTGATCCTTGTATTTTCCCTTTAAACAATATTGTTGTTGTCTGACCTACACCTAATGGATTTTAAATGTTACAAGTACTTAGGTAAATACATATTACATTTTTCATTATTTATTAGAAAAAACTATTCCTACATTTTTTGCACATTTAAAATTTAAATGATGTATGGGTCTAAGTGCATATTGTAAATAAATAATGCAAGTTCAATGTCAACAACATCACAATAATTTTTTTATCAATTTGTTGAGAACCAACCATTTTTCTAAAATAATTTCATTGGACGTTCACTTCCGGTTGAACCGGATGTGACAGTTACATTGTTTTTCAAATGAAATGTTATTGCATTTTTGAATTTCCACGTGAAATTTTGTAGCTATTGCATATTGTTTTTGAGATGATTAATTTTATCAAAAATTTTTGACACTTACTAAAATGTCTATTACCATCAAATGTAATGTTGAAAAGTTAATTCTTGGTATACACGTTAACAAAGAAGTATTTTATCAACGGCCAATAATAGTATTTTAAAATGTTAGACAGGGTGTTTGATATTTCCGTTTAATTTTGTTGCCTCTTTAAATGCGAATAACTTTCTTATTTGAAATGAAACGACCATAAATTTTACGACATTCAACGCGGAATATTATAATATACATTAATTTTTTATAAAATAAATCTTTAAAGAGATATTACCAAAAATGTGACTAGTATAAGTATAAAGATGTATAAAATTATTCCATTTTTGAATATACCTCAAGTGTTGGCCCCAAATAAATCAGTTAGATGAATCACCTTGTATAATAAAAAATGTACACTTTATACAGGGTGTCCCCTAATAAATTGTCATCCTTTGGGAGAATGATTTTTTTTCCTCTAACATTTTTGTATTAGAGAGCTCTACTTTTTTTTAAATAAAAACTATAAAAATAATTTTATTTAAAAAATTCGGAATTCTAGTATTTCAAACCTAACCTATAACACTTTTTATGTATGGATTTAAAAAAACAAAAGGTCACATTTAAAGAAAAATACAAAGTGGGTCATGTGACATCATTTAAAAGGTAATTTGAAGCTTGTTATGCTACTACTGCACAGGATGGCCTAAAAACATAAGTATTCCATTTTTTTTTTTAAATTTTTGTATGTAGAAGAGTAGTATCTAAAGTCTAATTTAAGGGCGGCATTTTTTGAACACCCTGTATAAAATCAAGATATGAATGAAAATCTACTAACATTCCAAGGTCATAAAGGTCAAATTTTGACATTTACTTCTTAAAAATTTAATAAAATACTATAAATTTAATGATCTAGTAATTATAATAATTATAATAATGTTGCATAAAATTGTTCAAGGTTAATATTATAAAATTTGCCGTTCCATAAAAATTTTAATCTTTTTGGCCACCCTCCAAAAAGTTGAGCAAACTCTCACGTGCTTCAAAAAAATTTAATGAACATTTTATATGAGTAACAAACTCAAAAATAAACCGATAGTAAATTTAGAGAACCTAGTATTAAAAAAAATTACAATCAAGACATTTTAAGTGATAAACCACACAAACTTTGTTATTATCGATTAATTTTGTTTAGCTTGATTTAACATTTGGAAATCATTGTTTATATTAAAATAAGTCTGTTGGAAGGTTGCCATATTTCTACCGAAATGTCAAAGCTTACACTCATCGAACCTTCAGTTGTTTTTGCGTTATGTACAGTCTGGCGCTGTCAGCTGTCATAATTTAACTCGGCCAATGTTATTAAATATGACAACACTATCGGCTGATTTAAAGTTACAATGATGACAAGTGTTTTTGTAAAAAAGTGAAAAATTTATTAGGACATGAGTTTTTGCTTTTTTTCAACAGCTTTGTTAAATTAACCTTAAAAACTGCCATTAAAATAAAAAATCTTGTCTAATATAATAGGTTTGTACCTATTATGTATTTTTACTTTCTTTAATAACTTTGAAGTATCACAAGTATCACAACTGATTAAATTAACGTTATATTGACGTAATTCCTGGTTAATTTGTTAAATGTTAAATTAACCTTAAATTCACGTTATTTTGTAGTATGTGGGGAATTCAATTATAGTAAAATTAAAGTTGTGTTAGTTAAATTTAACTTCTTGGTTAATGTACCTTTTGGTTAAAAGGAAGTTAATATTTGGTGGTTTGGTTATATAACCAATATAAATTAACCTTCAAGTTTATTTAAACCATTTGGTTATTTTGTTGTGTTTAATTTAACTATAGTATACTTAATTTACCCATCGGTAATTTATAACTCTTTGGTTTAAATTCGGTTAATGTAATATTATTTTTTTTAGACTTCATTATTACAGAAAACTCACAATCCATAGGTTTATATATAAAGCTGTATTGAAGTTCATTTTTCTATGCAGATAACAATGAAAACTGCAAAACCATCACTTT